ACTTAATTTTTAATGACACCAATGATAATTTCTTGAATTTTTTCAATTTGCCGCTTTTTAGACACTTATTCAAAAAATGCCACAATATTATAGTTTATTCTTTTGTTATTATTATATGCCTAAAAAAACCAGTGTGGAATAATTAGGAACCTTATATGTTCTATGAAAGTTTCAATTATGATTAACTTATCCATACCATTCGACCTTTTAGAACAATAAATAATCGATTCAGTTTTCGATGCTTAAAGTTGTAATTATTTTTGTTTTACTAAGAGTGGCAAAATACGACATTAAAGGTAGGAAAATTTTTTTTCAATCTAAAGAATAAATTATTATTTCTTATTTGGGATTTAATATACCTATCACTATTTGAGAAATTTTCATTATAAATTTTGCAATTTTTCATTTATGCTTCATTTGTTTATACTTATGAGAATTTATACTTGTCAAATATAATTTTTATAGTTGGAAAAATTTTATTGTTAGAAGTAAAAACTAATCATTTCCCATAAAATTATTTATCACCTTAAATTGATTAAACTAATAGTTGTATTTGTTTGCTTTTACTTCGTTTTCCTCCAACTTTTATGTATTTTTAAAAATTTAATAAATCTTTATAGATTAATCATTTCTCTTTATTAAAGCAAAAATTTTAAATTAAATTAGGAAAAACAAGATATAAAAAAATTAAAACAAATAAATATCATATTTATCATTGCACAATTTGAAACAAATGGTTTCTACTTTCTTTATTTGTTTTTTTTTTAATTTTATATTCATATGCTTTTCAAATTTTGTTTAAATTTATGAAATATGATTAAATTTCTCGTAATAATTATAATATAATGAAATGATAAACGAATCTCAGTAAAATTTTGTTGCAATACAAAAGCAACAAATACTAAATGAAATGGTTAAGATATCTAAAAAGATATACATTATTTATTAAAATTTACAAACATATAGATAGAAAGTATTTTAAAGTTAACAAGAATAATTAATTAAAAATAAAAGTATTTTATATCTTTATTAATTACTACAATTTTAATATTTACAATTATAATTTTTTCTACCAATTTAGGTATTTACCATTGCTAAATTATATTATTCACATGACTATTTACAATCCATTGTAATTTGTTGCAATTTATTTTAGAATATAAATCATTTCATCTTAATAATATAGAATCATTATATTCTTACAAATGTAAAAAAAAAATTTATAAATGCTAAAAAATTTAACTGACTTTTCTTAATTTTCATGATTTCTGTCTTTTATTATAATAGTTAGTTTATGAAAATATTTTGAAATTTCATTCGACATTACTACTTTTTTAAGCATTGCTACCTATGTATAAGCTATTTTATGGAGGTGTTAAATATATAATAAAAATATTTATATATAATTATAAAATAATTATAAAATAATTATAAAATAAATTGATCTAAATTTTTAAAAAACAATATTTTTATTTTATGATTATTATATTTTGATATATTTGAAATTTATGAATATTATTTCTAAATTTTAATCAATTATAATCTTCTAATATATCATATATTCAATAATTCACATATTGTATGAATATTAAAAATATATATAATATACAATTTTTTTTCATATGGCTTTTAAAAATCTAGGAGCACAATTGATCAAATAATTAAATTACTTTAATATTCCTATTCTAATACTATTAAATTATTCCAACAGATTTTTAATGTAATTAATTCTGAATATGTATAAGTAAATTTAATTAATTATAAATTTGTTATATATTGATTTTATATAAATTGATATTACAAAACCAAAATAAATGAGATTTTACGGTTGAAAATTTTTTATATTATATTGTTATTATAATATAATTCAGTACAGCAAAATCATAAAATTATTAGATTCACAATTTAAAATATACCACAATTTATTTTAAAGAATAAAAAATAATTTAACATTTTAGGTTAGAATACTTTAGAATAAATTTAAATATTATGGAATAAGTAATTTGAATAATTCATTATGAAATTATTTATTAAATTTAAATCACTTTAAATTATAATAAAAAGAACATAATAATTATAAAAAGTAAAAAATATATGTATTATGAATAAGTAAACAATTTTACAGCTGTTGAACTAACCAACCTAACCTATCAGATAAAAATCTAAATAATCCAAAAATAAAAAATCAATGCATTTGGTTTATTATTGTTATGAAATATCGTTATATTTCTATTTTTGTTTGAAGCCCCATAATTAAAACAAATAAAATTAAAAATGTATCCTAATGCAATTGTTAAATATTAATACTTTATTTTTTACCGAGTAATAGTAAATTAATAATAATAATATATTTATTATATATTGTTTATCAATAAAATTGTTGATATTGTATTAATTGAATTAATAATATAATAAAATATTTATTCCACTAAATTTGAAGTACAGTTTATTCATAGTGATTTCATTTGTTTAATTCGTAATAAATAAGCTCTTAATACGTAAAAAATAAAATTCATCATTCAATAGAACGAAGAATGTATTGAATAGATTTTTCATATAATTAATGAAATAAAGATAGTTGGTTATTGGTTGGATACATACTAAATATAAAAAGCTAAATTACATTAAAGCTTATAGTTAAAAGGATTGATGAGATACTTATACTTAAGAATATGAGAAAAAATTGATTTCGACAGCAATTAAATAGGTAATTTAATTTTGTCATATAAATATAGTTATAGTATTATATTTTTACGAATCTGTTAATTGTTTGCTTTAGATTTATGATGATTTTAATATCATTATAAGAAACAATCTATTATTGTTATAACTATTACTTTTAAAATATAATAATTATTAAAAACTAGAGCATTAAACCGAGCCCCCCCAGTGATGAAATTTATTGAAATCTAGATTTATTTGTATAATAAAAGATATATAATACTATGGAAACGGTTATTCGCAATCATTATAGATGAATAATACTTAAGATAAATCAAATAGTAAGCAAATAAATTAAGAATAAATAAAAGAACTATTTTATTAATTATAATAAATTTTTATCAATCATCTATCTCTATTTTGTGATTATTAAATTAATTATTGTATAATTACATATCCCTAATTGTATATATTCATCACCCAAGTATTGTAAGAGGATACACATTCTTCAGAAAAAATCAATCGAAAAACGTATTATATATTTCTTGGACATCTTTTCGGTAATGTACATAAATTTTTAGTGCTTCTTTTGGATTTTATATTTCACCTTAAACAAAGAAAAAGATAAGTAATATAATTATTTAAAGATAAGGTAATAAGTAAATTTGTATTTTTTTTATGAATTCTAATGTAGAAATAAATACAGATTCATAAATTTGACTAACTGAACAAAACAATACAATATTAAATAATTTATAAGTAAAATTAATTTTTATAAATTAATTGGATACTACTGAGTATTCTAATTGCTAATATCCACAGATTTGGTTTCTTGAAAGAAAGATGAAATCTTATATCTTGAATCACTGATTGAAACTAGTGAACACTATAAAAAATATTCCAGAAATATTATTATAAACATTGTTTGTAATTATATGTAAATATATTATTATTATATAATTATAGTTATGTATATAATTTATAATATATAATATTATAATATATATATATAATAATATTATAATATATATATAATTATAATTATTATATATATTATATAATAATAGTAAATATATAATTATATGTAAATATAAACTATGTAAATATATATTAAGATTACTTTTATATTAGCACCAGATGATATGTTCAAACCTTGACAACTACTTTCTTAAATGATATATGATAAAATCAATTTTTAGACTATTGTGCTTAATTTATCAATGCAATGTTTTTAAACTCCAGTCGAGTGCTTATTATTGTATAAATGATTATTTAACTACAATTTTCTATAGAAAATCATCTTCTTAGTATTTGTTTTATTTTATTGCTACAAATCGATTGAGTTTCAATATTAATACGTAGTAAATTTATTCTGCATTAATTATATTTGAAATTTTATAAAAGAAAAAAAATTAATTATGAAGATAAAATATCTTTTTGTTTGCATATTCTGAAGTTTTTTTTTGTATCAAAGACTTATTAAACTATTTAAACATGCGCATTTAGTGTTTCTAGAAATTAATTCTAAAATGAGAGAAGCAAGTGCTATTATTTCTATTAAATTATATTGGACTTGTAAAAATAAATCTCATTTAATGTAATTCATTTTGTTCTAATGAAATTATAGTATATATTTTAAAAAATTTTAAAAAACAAAATCCTTCGGTATAAATAATAATATAATCTGTTCTAATAAACAATATATTGAATTATAATATTGATACTTTGTAATTAATTTTATCTAAAAAATAATTATGTTTCGTTATCATGTTATATTTTACTATTCACGTAGCTGACTATTTACATAGCGTATTATTTATATTTTTTTTTGTATCTTTCAAATCTATTAATGCATTAGTGATTAATGCATTATTAATGAACTAGTGAAACTAATTACTGTAATAAAATGATGTAAAATAGATATAGCTATTCCTTTTCTTTTTAATCGTATTTTTTTCAATTATATTTTTCTTACATTAGAAATGTGCATTAGAATAGTGTTCATAAATAATGATTTATTCATAAGATCCGTACACGCTAGATAAAAGGAGTTGGATACGAGAGAATGGAAATGAGAAAGAGCTAGTGCAAAGAGAGGGGGGGGGGTAATAGTATGAGTAAATGGAGAATAAGCGTGGGGAAAGGAAGGAAACAGACTGACGTAGAAATAAAAATAGTGGTAAATACTTGGAAACTCGACGAGTAGTGTAAAAATTGTGATTGCGAGAAATGATTACAATTTATTATATATATATATATATAATGTAACATGTATATACATACATGTATGTATATATATATGTATATATATATTTATTCGTCTAAAAATAAAATGTATGATTTAATTTAATAATATACCATAGAACATGAAGTGTATGTTTAAAAGTTCTATGCTTGTACGTAATGTGTACAGTGTACACTCCTAACCTAAATTGACTTTGAACCGTAGATTTCTTGAAACATTAACTATACGCCAGATTCTCAATGTTTCTTTAATACTAAAAATGTGAGCGAGTGTCAAAAGATTCATACAGTAATTGGTATATAAGTTCAGTTCATGATTTTTCCTTCACTATTTGCAGGGATATTGTACCGAGACGTTCGGACAGGAAACAACATATTAGATTTGGAGGGGGTGGGGTCATATCGTTAAATGCAATAGTGTAAAATTGTACAAGACATCAAGCTAATAATATTATGAGCTTGTAAGAAATTAATGAGGACTCGAGTGCATTATCGAGTAAAGAAAGGTGCGCTATTAAAATATAAGTCATGGCGCGACCTATAAGTCCTAGCCAACAGAAATTGGCTGAGAAACTGATGATTCTTAATGACAGAGGTATTGGCATGCTAACTCGCATTTATAACATTAAAAAAGCATGTGGCGATGCAAAATCTAAACCTGGTTTTCTGTCGGATAAAACACTTGAATCGTCTATAAAAACTATAGTTAGAAAATTTCCAAACATTGATATTAAAAGCCTGCAAACAATCACAAATCTACGTAATGAAATCATCAAGTCACTTTCACTGTATTATTATACATTTGTTGACTTGCTTGATTTCAAGGATAATGTTTGCGAACTTCTAACAACAATCGATGCTTGTGGAGTATATATGGACATCACAGTAAATTTTGATTTAACAAAGGGCTACTTAGATTTAGTTGTTATTTATGTAAGTTTAATGATTCTTCTATCCAGAGTTGAAGATCGTAAGGCTGTTCTTGGACTGTTTAACGCAGCCCATGAAATGGTACATAGTCAATCAGATCCTAGTTTTCCTCGTCTTGGTCAAATGATTATGGATTACGATGTACCGTTAAAAAAACTTTCTGAAGAATTTGTACCTCACGCGAAACTTTTGAAGAATGCTTTGATTTCTTTATGGCCTATATATCCTGGTAGAAATTCGTCGGCTGATACTTGGAGAACCGATCAAAAATTAAGTTTGGTCGGTAGTCCGGGTCAAATTTTGAAAGCAGCAGCAACGGATACTATGTCTTGTGAAACATTAAGTTTGGACAGAATCGAAAGGTGGATCATTTTAGGATTCACGCTTTGTCATAATGTTCTTAATCAAGAACAACCGAGTAAACTATGGACCACAGCTTTAGAATCTGGCTGGGTTTTGGCACTTTTTAGAGATGAGGTTATATACATACATCAATATGTACAATCATATTTTGAAAATATTAAAGGATACGGAAAACGTGTATCAGAAGTCAAAGAATGTTATAATCAAGCTGTACAAAAAGCAGGATACAAGCATAGAGAAAGAAGAAAATTCTTAAGAACAGCATTAAAAGAATTAGGTTTAATTTTAACAGATCAACCAGGACTTCTTGGTCCTAAGGTACTTCTTGTACTGATGGGATTATCTCATGCTAGAGATGAAGTGTTATGGCTTTTAAGGCATGGAGATAATCCTCCAAATCAAGGAAAAGGTAAAGGAAGAGGTGGCGAAGATTTAGTTGATAGACAGCTACCGGAATTATTATTTCATTGTGAAGAACTTAGAGCTTTAGTGAGAAAGTATTCCCAGGTCAGAATAAATACATATTTATTAAATAATTATACCAAATTGATTAAATAGTAGATAAAGTACCTTTCTAGATGTATAAGTATGTGATATATATACTATTAATGCTTATTTGATAATGTTTTATAATTCATCTTTTATTTTAGGTTTTACAGCGATATTACGTTCAGTTTTTATCAGGCTTTGATGCACCAGCAATGCATCAAATAATTCAGAATCTTCCAATTTGTCCAGAAGAAGAAGGTGCAATATTAAGTGATATATGTTCAACTATAGCAAATTTAACGGTTAAGCAAGTAGAAGACAATGAATTATTTGATTTTCGACCATTCAGACTCGATTGGTTTCGATTACAAGCATATTTATCAATTGCTAAAAGTAGTATGAAATTAGCGGATAATAGAGAATTAGCATCTTTCATGGATACAACTGTTTTTCATACAAAAATGGTTGATAGTCTTGATGACGTTTTGGTGGAAACGTCGGATTTATCTATTTTTTGTTTTTATAGTAAAATTTTTGAAGATCAATTTCATATGTGCCTGGAATTTCCAGCTCAAAATCGTTATATCGTCGCTTTTCCACTTATTTGCAGTCACTTTCAAAGTTGCACACATGAATTATGTCCTGAAGAGCGACACCATATACGAGAGCGAAGCTTATCAGTAGTAAATATGTTTCTTGATGAAATGGCTAGAGAAGCCAAAAATATTATCACTACAATTTGCGACAAACAATGCAGTATGAGTGACAAATTACTGCCAAAACACTGTGCTGCATTAATTTCACAAGTCGTTAACAGAAAGAAAAAAGATAAAAATAAAAAGAATCTCTTGGAAATACGTAAACCAGGATTTGAGAGTTACAGAAAAACTAGAGAAGAATTAACAACAATGGATAAGCTACATATGGCTCTCACAGAATTATGTTATGCCATAAATTATTGTCCTACAATTAATGTTTGGGAATATACATTTGCACCTAGAGAATATTTACATCAACACCTTGAGACTCGATTTGCTCGATCTCTTGTTGGCATGGTAATGTTTGATGCTGACACTAATGTTATTGCTAAACCATCCGAATTGTTTGTCAGTGTTAGAGCATATATGAATGTACTGCAAACTGTGGAAAACTACGTACACATAGATATTACTAGAGTTTTTAATAATGCACTTCTCCAGCAAACCCAAGCTTTGGACAGTCACGGGGAAAAAACTATAGCTGCATTATATACGCAGTGGTATTCAGAAGTTTTATTAAGACGTGTTAGTGCTGGTAATATATGTTACTCTCCTAATCAAAGATCCTTTGTTAGTTTGTCAGTTGAGGGATCTATTCCTTTTAATGCTGAAGAATTCTCTGATATAAATGAACTTAGAGCACTCGCTGAACTTATTGGACCATACGGCATGAAGATGCTAAATGAAACACTTATGTGGCACATATCAAGTCAAGTACAGGAGTTAAAGAAACTCGTTGCTAGTAACAAGGATATTCTTATCTCTCTCAGGACGAATTTCGACAAACCTGAAGTGATGAAAGAGCAATTTAAGAAACTGCAACATGTAGATAATGTTCTTCAACGAGTTACGATTATCGGTGTCATTTTAAGTTTTCGACAATTGGCGCAAAGCGCCCTAGTTGATGTATTAGAGGAGAGAATACCATTTTTGCTAAGCTCCATTTTGGACTTTAGACACCATCTTCCAGCTGGAGATCCAATGCGAGTTGTTTCAGAAATGACATCGGCAGCTGGTCTGACTTGCAAGGTTGACCCGACCTTAACTACAGCACTCAAGAGCCAGAAAGCTGAAGTTGATGAAGATGAGCACATTTTAGTCTGCCTCCTCATGGTATTCGTGGCAGTTTCTATTCCAAAACTGGCTCGCAATGAAAATTCCTTTTATAGAGCTTCTCTCGAAGGTCACTCTAATAATATTCACTGTATGGCTACTGCAATTAATAATGTATTCGGTGCTCTTTTCACCAGCTGTGGACAAAATGATATAGAGGACAGAATGAAGGAATTCTTGGCCCTGGCGTCCTCCAGTTTGCTTAGACTTGGCCAGGAAGCTGACAAAGAAGCAATTCGAAACAGAGAATCAGTCTATCTATTGCTTGATCAAATTGTACAAGAGTCTCCATTTCTTACAATGGATTTACTTGAAAGCTGCTTCCCCTATGCTCTTATTCGTAATGCCTATCATGATGTCTATAAACTAGAGCATACCCAACCTTAGTTAGAAAATATTATGAATGCTGTGGTTATAATTCATTGTTGTGAAATTGGTATGTTTTCAAAGAATAAGTTGATTTTAGTCTTAATGGAGACGAACAAGTACCTATGTGTATGAAGCCAAACATAAAAATTTCATTAGTAATAATCATTTCAGTATTTAGCATCATTATTATCATGAGCCATCAACGTAATCTCATCTTCATTTTTTAATATAACATAAAGGCACCTTCTAATGTAGTATTTGTATTACAATTTACTTATGCACTCTTGTAAATGTACTATATAACTATTTTAGAATAGTTTATGAAATAAAAATTTAATAAAAATTTATAATTTTATTAGGCTAATAATCATTATTGTTATGTATAACGTTGTAGTTTATTTTAGTGTTTGATTTCTTATTCTTGTTTATTAAATCTCATGTCAAGCATAAACATTAAACATTTTAAGTATACTAAAACAATTTTTCATTACAAAAATATGAAGTTTGCTTTTAATTTAATTATGATTAATATTGATTATAAGAAAAAACTGCATTTTATAAAGAAGTTTAATTTTAATGTCATTGATTACATATGTAACATAACTTAATTTATAATTATTGGTCTACGTGTACTAAACAATTCTACTTTTGATTTTATAATTATATATATATATATATTATGACGAAGATTTATATTTCATTTTCGATTTACATTTATTTTACAAGCTTAATGGGTGAAATTCTACTCAAATATTGTACTTAAAATTTTAATTAGAACAAAGAATTATTAATTGGACACTAAATTGAATAAATTTTTTTTATAAATAATATTAAACATTTCTCAGATGCTTTCAATACATAAGTATAAAAAGTATGATATTAAATATATATTACTTTAGTTATATTTTTATTACAAAATAAAGTAATTTTAATAAATTTTTAACTAAATTATTAAAGTTTGTAAATTAATATACAATAAATTAATAAAAAATCTAATGTATAAAAAAAAATTAAATAATATGTAACGGAATATTCAAAAACAATAAACCGAATTGTTATTCAGAAAAAAAACAAAATAAACAATTGAAATTAAGCACGTACACAGTATACTTTACATAATTCAATAAAAATAATATATTTAAATCTACCTATTATATACTTCCTACCAATTTTTATTAGTATTTTATTGTCATTGTTATTATTATAATTTATGTCAGAAATTAAGATGTCTATTATTTTATCAATATAATATCACACCTTTACTGACTATGTTAGTTGTGGAAACATTATATTAATTTATATAATTTAAAAAACATCAGAAATGTGGCATTGCGAAAGCAATTTAGTTTCTCTACATTTTTACTTTGCTTTAATACAATGCTTGTTTTTAACAAGTATGAATGTATTACTTCATTAAAACCCAATTCTAATCTATTTCATTTTCAAAAACAAGACTAAAATCATTTGCCGATTATGTCGAGTCAATATTCAATTTTTTACAATTAATATGATATCAAGACTATGCATCAATATATTTAACTTTACAAAATAAGTAATTAAACGTTAAAGATTTATAAATTTTGTTTGAATAGTAATTGTATAATTTTTCTTTTCTTAACATACAATACGGCACCAGTTATATGTATATGCTACATATCAAAAATATCGATTAAGATGTAAGAGGAAACAATACAATATATATACTGTCTACAAGTTAAAATAGAATTTTATTATTTTGTGTTATTGGACTTGTGACTTAATATCAATTGAAACATTCGAAAATCCACAAAATTATTGACAATTTTATTAAATAGGTTAAAACTACTAACAAAATATTAATAATAGATAAGATTACACATGTTTATATTTGAAATATTCTGTATTATTAAAAAAAATTATATTTATAATATGTCTTTATTTCAATGTTAATAAAAAACCAAATCGTTTTGGTATATCCTACACAAATCGATAAACGCTCATTGAAATACTTACCTTATTCTACCACAAAAACTTAATATGCATAATGCAATTAATTTAGTTAAATCTGAGTATCCATCTGCTTATCTTATCAGTTTTAGGCTCAATTTCATACTCACTATGTATATATATATATATATAATATCAATGTGTTACCCTTTTCGTAATGGACAACTTAGTATTTAATTTATATTATTTAGTAATTAATATTCACAATTCCAATTTACAATACTTATTAAATTATAGTTTTATCAAATTATAATTATACAAAAACGATAATTTATATATAATACCTATAATATGAACAATCCAGTAAATTTATTAAATTGTGATATAAGTTTATTTTTAATTACGAAAATTCATAATTAAATTCATTATATTTTAATCAATATCTATTAAACTTTGACCATTGTTTAAACTAATGGCATTTATACTTATAACAACAAATTGTGTCCTTTAATATTATATAAAATATCATTATAAATACAAAAATTTATCTAAAGGATTTTTAATATTACTTTTGAATTCATAAAAGCAGTATCTAGATTATAAACAACATAATACAAATAAGCAAATACATTGCAATCAAATTTGGGAATTAAATACACATGATAAAGTTTCGAAGAAAAAATAATAATATAATTATTATTATAGATATGTTGGTAAATGAAAAGTTTAAGAAAATATATTTTAAACAAAATTATTTAAATGTAAAATGTATGCTTTATTTAATTTTTTACAATGTTTTTTAATCATATTAACGTAACACAAGAGATATTCACAATCATATTTCATTTATAATATTCGTAATACACGCCCCACGTTCTAAACACGTTATTTTCGGAAAAAGGGAAAAGTAGTCCGACGCTACACTCAGGCAATTGGTCAGTGTGTTATATTTTGTATAATTATTATTGTAGGTACGTGAAAATTATACGACAAAATTATTTATTATTCGCATTTATCATTTATCATATAAAACACAAATATCTACTTTTATTATAAAAAAAAAAATAAAGGCTATCTGGTACATTATAATATCCAAGTAATTTTATTTGAAAATTCTGAATTTTAATGATAAAAGAAAATATCGAAGCTTAAGAAACATCGCAATTTAATCGTAATGACAAATCCAAAATATAAAATAAAATGTGGAAATATACCGATAAGTCACGATGTTTTTTTGGATTGATAGAAAAAATATAATATTTTTAATTCTTTTTTGTTTCTCCTCATTGTTATCTCGCTTTTCTCTTCTCTGATAATATATACAACTGATAGAGTAGTGCATCTCATTACAGAAAGTATGCAACCTTAATGTGAGGATTGCTTTACAAATTAGTTACTCTTACGCTTTTTATATTCCACCTTTTATTGAATTACAATGTAATCCTCACTTTAAGATTACAAAGATAAAACTTAAACACATTTATTATAGGTCAAGGGGATTTCTTATCATTTTTTAAATCCGCACGCATACACAAGCAATTGTATCACTTTTAAAAGAGACTCCTGCCTTGGTTCGGATTTATTTAATAAATTTTCACCTTTTCTTTCTTTTAGTAAAATTGCAATTTTAGTAGTTTTCTTTCCTTTAGTAAAATTGCAATATTAGTTGTTTTCTTTCCTTTAGTAAAATTGCAAAATTAAATCAAAATAAAAGGTTAATTTAATTTGAAGGAAACTAAACACAAATAATCAGTTCTTTTATTACATATTTAATATATATGAAAATTTTTAAATTGTCATTCATATCTGATACATAAATTAATTTGAAAATAGATTGTAGTATAATCGATAGTTGCCATATTGCAAATTTGATTTTAAAACATTTTGTATACGGATTGTTTTATGTTACATCTCGGTTAACAACCGTTATTGCCATAATTTTTAATAAAATGGTATTTTACAATATTTAACATCGGCGAAATAAATATTAATAATGACAAAAGAGTAAAAGAATATTTACAGTTAAAATTTTAGATGAATAATTTATGTTTTCATAAATTTTTGACACTTTACAACTACAAAAATTAACTAAAATTTTAATTCATTATTATGTACGAAGGAAATTAAATAGAATCCCTCTCATTCTTATAACAGAAAAGTTTCAAATTTTTATCTTATCTTTTAATTATGCTATGCTTTAAAAGTTATAAGAGTAATATATCCGTTTGTTATGAAGGTATAAAAGAATTTTTTATGATAATTGATAAACATTTTTATGTGTTATTATTAAATTTAATGTTTGTCATGAAAGTATGCATAACCAAATACTGTAATTTTCACGTATTTAATTTTTCGGCAATAAATAATCCATTGCAAATTATTTATTATCATTAATCCAAATTATATTAAATAATTTTTAAATATTTAAAATAATTGATATATATGGAGAAAATACAAATTATTTATATAATATTTTAAAACTTTAATAAATTTAAATTTAACAAATATATTAATGAAAATTTAATAATTTTAGAATTTAATCAATACTTAGCCATAAAAGTCTGATTTGTAAATTTTTCATTTCGAGTATTTATATTGAATGTTATATTGATGACATTTTGTTGAAAGATTATTTTTTATGGTAAAATTACGAAAATACATATATTTTTTTTGGTTAGTTTTGGAATGATACGAATCATTAAAATTAAAAAATGAACTGATTATTTGAGAAATTGTTCCTAATAATATCGCATAAAATGGGGCAATTGTTTAATATCTATAGAGCATTTGTTTCATAGTTTGAAAATTTTTTATACTGTAATTGTTGCAAAATATTATTATACACAATCCATGGCAGTTACTTTAATAATTGGAAGCTGTTTATCTCTTTCGTTTTATTTTTCCGATAAAAATGTTCTATTATTTGGCAGTGTTTCTTACAGAAACGATCAAATTATATCCAATTTCTTCACTCGAAAAGCATTAGAGTTAAAGTATACTTTTTTTTTTATAATTCGAAGTTTAAAATTTCTTTGCTAAAGTTACTTAACTACCTCGACTGATGATCGAACGTTCAAGCGTAACACTGAAAGAGTCGTCATGTTTTTATTTGGCATTTAATCATTGACGACTGAATCGAACTGTTATGGAAGTAGTAAATTAAAATTTCGAGAAACATGCCACATGCTCTAACATTGTTTCATCTTTATGTGAAAATGAATAGATTCTCACTAATGTATTATAACGCTTATGAAATCGATCGCACGAACATTTTAAATAAACGATTTAAATTTTACGATTGTAGAATGTTCAATCTTATTTGTGTGCATATTTATTTAATCATTCACTCTGCACACAAAATACAGAATAATACAGTCGCTATTGTACAGATCTGATATAAAAACAAATGTTTTTATTTATTTTTTTTTTTGTTCTTATTCGCTTTTCTATTTTTTGTAGTTTTAATATTATCATTTTTAATGTAAATATACGTACACATACACGAACGTGAAAAATCGTATGCGCGTACAGATATTTATTAATTTATTTATATATTTATGTACTTATAATATATAATATCAATCTATATACAAAGGTATAGACAATCTGCTCTTTTTCCTGCTTTCTCACCTCTGTGTCTTTTTGTTCAATTATAATCCCTATAACTTTACATTATCCCATTCTCGCTTAAAATTGCGCACAAACTTTCTCACATTGCCTAGAAATCACATTGCGCCATCATTAATATTGTACATTTCCGTGAGTCGTAAAAATCCTTTCGGCTTTTCTCACGATTTGTTTCAATTTACTTTCCTATCTTGCAATTATTGTTGCTCTTCTTATCTATTCTTCGCCTCTTTTTTGGCTCTGATGTATATTATTGAGAGTTCGAATTTCGATCGATCGAGTATGTTCCAAGTCGCCAAAGAGAAAATCAATGCAATTTGTCACAGAGATGCTTCTTTCGAGAACGCTTATCAAGTCAATTAAAAATTACTATTATATTCGAATATATATCGAAGGTTTTTTTCACGAAAGAAATTGTGAAAAGTGTACCGTTGTATTAACATGTAAGAGATTGATTAATTAAGGAAAAAAAATTGTTTTTTCACACTGAATAAACCAACATATGTATTTTTTAGATTAAAACTAGACTTTAGTGAAATTTTATTTGATCGATCTTCATAAGATAAAGTTTAATCTTCATAGTAATACTTATATTTTAAATCTTTAACCTTAACTAAAAGTTCTTAGAATATATATATAATATTTTTGCTTCTTACTCAGAATTTAACATCTAATATTATTGTGAATTTTTAAAGTTACTTGCAAAATATCTTTATTAATTGTAATATTATTGATTAGAAGTTCCTCGAGTCGAAAATTTCAACAAGTAAAGTGTATTTGACATAAATACTTAACAATGTATTTATAAAAATGTATCTAAAAGCATTAATATCTAAAAGCATTCACCGACTTGCTATTTCATATACTACACCGAAAAATAATTTCACTAGAGTCTGTCTTTAAATTATATCTAACTGAATTAAAATTCTAACATTATTTTTTGTTCATAAGTAATTATATATTTAACGATTAAGCATCTTAAAATGCTAACAATATTAACACGTATTTTGTTAATATCTAATTATATATGAACAATATCATTTATGGAAATTCTTACATCATTGAATTTTCCAAGAATTCTTCTGATTTTCCTTTACATATTTCAGATATTAGATTTATTAAAAAAAATGAATTTCTATTACTTAAGGCATATTATAAAACTTATTTTGCGTCGATCAATTAAAATAAAATAATTTAGTAAAACGAACCTGTAATGTCAGATATTTAGTCCACTTTTTACATAATTATTAATTTTTTCATCACATATTATATTATTTTATTTATCTTTAAGATTTCATGAGTTACCATCAAGATAAATAAAAATATTCAACTGAAATTAGTATTTGAAAATCACTGGATGTAAGAATTAAAAATATTTGTAAAAAAGAGTACGTTTCGTTTCTCATTTGATCAGCCTTAAAATTGTAATTTTATAATGCTGTTTTTTACATTGCACAGATCATCTAAATGCGTGAGATTACTTTCTAGTGCATTAGAAGTCGATCGAAAGCCCTCTCATTTATTACAAATAATAAAGTCTACTTTATCTATATACACACACGCGCGCGCGCACGCGCGCGTACACACACACACGCATACATGCGCAAGTTTTTCACACGGATACACACTATGGCGCTTATGCTCAAAGAACACGCCCACACACACACACACACACAGTTATGTATATGCATATAGATATGTATAACTTACAAATATCGCCACATACGTGATGAATTATTAGCAATATTTAACTAAATATAATCCTGATTTATATTGCTAATTTATCGACAATAGTGACAAAAAACCATTAAATATAATCATAAGTCAAATTTTTATATCACTATTAATTTGCTTTGCGGCTTTATTTTTAATTGTCGTGTCTATTACCTTCTCTTAGTCAGCCCAAATTTAACTTTACAAGTATCTTTAAATTGTTAAAAAATTATATCGTAAGAAGTAATTACACATATTTTTTTAAATATTATTTTATAATGGTACAGAGATCAAGAAAATGACCTGGATAGTTTGGTAATGTTGCTACATCTTTGCTTTGGCAGATTACAAAGACAAACACTTATAAAAATACTACGCATCCAAAAAGATAAAATCATTAAAATACATCAAAAGGAAAATCAATTCAGTCATATTCAAGTAATTACCTGAGATCTTTGTGTAAAAATTGACTGAAATTGTATATTGACCTGGAAAATCTTATTATTTATTGTTTAAAAATAATCCGCTATACTAAGAAACTTAATAAAGGTAAAAAAAATATTGTGCGTGTACATTTTCTCATACGAAGAAAAAAGAAATTAATTGAAATCTGCCAATAAGCAAGACTCGTGAATTTTGACCATGAAGGAGGTCAAGGAAATATCTATACTACATATATATTTTATCGCTTATTAAACGGAACATATTCATTCGATTAGTCCTTCAAGCCAGCTTGGATCAATCTTATTTTGTCCCTTTGAAATATAGCTTACGCATTATAAATATAAATTATAAACATCGATAGATTTTATTTAGATATTTTATCATTTTAAGCTTATAATATTTTTAATATTGATAACACATTTGCTGTTGTATTTATATAAAAATATAAGCACAGTATTCTTAAATTAACTATATGACGGGTTTAATATAAATATTGTTACATATATTCTTTATAAGTATTTGTATAATATTTTAGTATAATTAATTTTTTTAGGTTTTATTGTACAGTATTTAAATGTTTTTAAAAATGCAGTTAATAAGTAATAATAAGAGATACAAGAAATTCATTATACAGAATATTATCAAATTAATAAAATAAAAAGTTTTATTAATAGTCTTTCAATAGACATAAATTATTTACTCATATATTGTAATATTTTTAAAATAGATCATAAATTTATAAATAATATGTATTATTTGACATATTTTTCAGCGTATTGACGATAATTTATGTGTTTTTAAACATTTGCACTCAAGAATTGTTATACAGGTTAAATTATTACATACTACATTTATTAGAATAGTAAAAAAATTTTAATAAACAAAATTTAACTAATTTACGTTTACTTATTGTATAAGTTGCAATTAACAAGTTCATATTGAATGCCTCATATTGTAGAACAAGTTTAACAAGTGAAATGAAGTAGTAGTTCTTAAAAAATTATTAGTAATACAATAATAAAAGGATTTAAAGAACTTGTTCTTCGTCATGGTTGACCATACACTATGATCAAGGATAATGAAAGCCTATTTATAAAACAAGAATTGGGACGAATATTTTTCAGAATCAGTGTGTATTTATAACACAACTAAGTTCTCATTAGATAGATTAGCATTAACTATAACACAGAGTGTTCATAATCCTTAGAAAAGGTACTAATTTTTTTTGACAATTTGTTACAGTGAATAATAAAGAAAATCAATTAATTTTTAAAGTATCAAATATGATTCAATTTATTGCCATATATTAAAAATCTTCTAATTAATCATTTTTCTCAATTGTTTATATTCACTATCGGTGCCATTAAGAAAAATCCTCATTAGATAATGGAACTGCCAGAAAGTAAAAATTTTTTTTTTGTTTAATTTAGTCATATAAATAACATGAATAAAATCCAGCTTTCATTTGATAAGTAAATAATCGTAAGTATTGGCGAATATATATATATATAAGATAATATCGTAAAATTACAAATGACTAATTTACCCTTGTACATTAAGGATATAAAATGGATTTTCTATTTTTTGAAATGTTAGAGCGCATGCTAAATGCGTATGGGAATTTATAAAAAAAATATAACATTGTTCATAATAGCATGTACTTTATACAGATGAAAAAAGGATGAAAAGAAAGAAGCACTATTTGTGTACTGTTAAAATTTGTTTAGAGAGCCTTGTTTTTAATAGCATATAAAAGCCTCATAAATGCGAGAAATACTAATTTCAAGGACTTTTTAAGTAAGACTAAAGTCTAATTTTGTAAATTAGTAATAAATACTCTACTGGCATGAAGAACCACTCGAATGAAAAGCCAAAGGCGAGCTCTCTTCGTAACTCGTTGAAAAGTATATGTTACATTATCAACATCTGATTTAGTTAACGTTCTCAGTTCTCGAGAAACTGTATTATTGGTATTATTGGTATTGGTACTGTTGCTGCTGTTGCAACTCACGCGGGAAACTAAGCTCCTGCAACCAGTTACTGGTAAGTTTGTCAGACCTTGTGATGCCTCATCTCATAGGCTGAGCTTCGGCCACCTCCGCCGGTGTTCGAGTAGGCACCAGCGTACAACTCGGGGTGATGGTTATGAGGGGTGCTGCCACGAGGGTAGCCTCCTGGACCTCCTGATGATGATGATGATGAGCAAGCTGATGTGTTGGGCCCGACTGGCGCACTAGCTGTGGGAACCGAGCGATATCCTGTTTAAATTTCACACAAATTCATGATATCGCCAATCCCTTGTATGAACGCCTGTTTACATTCATACACTGTAATTGCTTTTTATATTTATCAATACTTATCTTCGTTTTGCCTCTGCTTCCTTTCTTCGTCAATAAATAGGTCGATTTACTAACTATTATTTATTTGTGGTAAAAAAAATTTTTAAAACTATTTATTGAGTTGAAGACAAAAGAGCATTATTGTACTTAATTGGAAGAAAAAGTAATTATAAAACGGCTTTCACATCAATTACCAATATTGTAATAATATAATGTAGATTTCAGCATTAAGTCAATTTTTTATTATTATTAATAAATTATTAATCATTGAATCATTTTTCAAGTTAAAATTGTTTGAACAAAATTGATCTTATTAGTAGAAAATAGTACTCGTTGCATTAAAGGTGTTTCATGAGTTATCTTTGAATTTCAAAAACATAATTAAGTGGGTGAAAGAATTTTAAATACAAAAATGTAAAAGCATTTACAGTGTAGTAATAATTATATTGACGTTTAAAATATATAAAAGCATGCACTAATTACATTTTTCATACCTTATCGAAAAAGATGATAAAATATATGATCGTATTGTGTAATATCAATAATATATTAAGAATATACTCTCTAAAATTAATAGATTAACATTAAACAAAATAATTAATATTAATAATGAATAACTAATATATTAATTTAGCTAGTTTAAATAAATTTTGAATTAATTTTCTTCACATTCATTATGTAAGTATCGCCTCAAGCTAAAACATATTGTATTATAGTACTTTCTATTATAAATTGATAAATTCATTACATACATATAATCACAATGAAACATATCCTTCGACATCCTTTTCTTTTCTATAAGCTTATACTTTATTGGTACATAAAAAAATGTATTAGTTAATTAGTAATTAGTAATTAAATAAAAGTAAACTACAATTCAACAAGAGATTGATGATATTTATATAGCTACAGATATTATATATAATCATGCGCTTTCGATTTTATTTTTGTCCATGATCTACTTATGCAGATATCATATTAACAATAATAATAATAAAAGTTAACATATAATTAGAGCAATTAATTAAATTACATTTAGTTCTTATAGTTTTTAAAATATCATTAAAAAGATCGATACAATATAACAAATATAAAAGCATGCATTACAGAAGCAGATGATAAATAAAATGTTGTTATATGATAAAGGTTAAAGAACGAAATAAGAAAGAAATTTAAGTGGTTGCTCCTCTATTTTGAGAGTATAGAAATTAGTAAGCTCCAGCTCACCTCTGCAGCTCATATAATGATAGTGTCAGGTGAGGTGATTCACGTGTCAATCAATGCGAGGAGAGTGCGATCAGGAAGAATACATAAATGTAGTTGCAATTCTCACAATGAGAGAAAATAATATGGAAAACAGCTTATAACCGATACGAGTTTATATGTCTTATAATAAATTGATAGTTAAAAATTTGTCAATAAATGAAATTTATCAAATTCCCTTACACATTTTAGGGCGGCACTTGCATAAATACTTTAAAGTAACTTTTCGCGTGCTTAGAATATCACAAAGTCAACTGAATTGAAATAATTTTATATTCTACGAGTTAAGTAAATATTATTAAATAGTCATTGCATAAATTATTTTAATATTGATAAGTAATAATTCCATTTAATAAAAAGAAAAAACTCGGTCGATTAATAAAGCTGCTTTATTGCTGTAAACCAACATAGGAAGATCTTACCCAAGATGAATAACAACATACCTTTGGGATAATATTGAGCTCCTCGTGTTTCAGTGTAGCCATGAGATTGACCTCGGGTCCCGTGTCCACCATGACCTCCAGCTTGCCTAGGCGGCACACTCCTAGCACCCCCACCCCCCCCCCCACCTCCTCCTCCTCCTCCTCCTCCTCCACCACCACCACCGCTATGTGGATGTCGCTAAACCAAGTATTTAAAACTCCAATATTATAAATTTGTTATTTCTTTTTATGAATTTCTTCATATTCATAATATGAATAAGGTAATTACAAAACTTTATGAAATTTTCAAATATGAAAAAAAAACTATTTCATTACCATTCTTCGTAGTGTATTCATTGGCCTTCTTAAAGTATCACTAATGTGTCTGGCTGGTGGCTTTTTAGGATTACTCGATGGAGTATGAACGGCGCAACATTTGATAAATAAACCCATGAAGATAATGAAGGCTATACCCATTAGTAATACAGCCCACCAATACTCCTAAAAAATATAATCAATATTTACAATTTAAAAAAAGATCTTAATAGCGAAGTTCATGCGGAGCTAATTTCATTTTGAAATAAATATAGTGATTTTGCATTATACTAAGGAATTTTCGCTTATACTGAAATTGTGAAAAAAATTAATATTAATAATGGACATTCAATATATTTAGGAAAACAATTTACCGTGATCCACTGGGCGACGGTGACGAGGGTATCCTCATTGAAGAGCATGTTTTTAAGCCTGGCTAGTGGACCCTCAGCATCGACAGCTCGACACTTGAGGAATACATCACAATACCCTTGAAAATTATCGCATGGTGAACCTGGCCGTAGGCTAATCCCGCCTTTGGCCAAGTTGACGAGGTGGGCAAATTCACTGGTACTGCGACATGTCGAAGCATCTGTACCATTTTGGCAAGCTAACTCACATAGCTTGCGCTTGTCGATGTTTGGTATTATGCTACTTGTTAAGAAACACTCGGTCAAGTTCCATTCCAAACAAATCGATCCAGTACACTCGCCATTAATGCATAACTGAAAATCGATCGTTTCATTATTAAATTTTATCAACATGTTTTACGTAATCTAACAAACCATTTATTAAACCTTATCAATTATCATTTGCAACTATCCTGCGATCAATTATCATCACTATGAAATAGCAATATTTCGTAATGCATGTAATGTTTAAATACTATAAAATAAACTAATTCTTAAAACACTTTTAGACAATGTAATATTTTTATTACTCGATAATAAAGCATAAAAATGTGTGATATTGGAGCTATACTGATGAAACTACAAAACTATATTGAACATTTTAATTTGATTATTTTTATTAATTTTTAAGATAAACAAAATAAATGTTAATGTTAGTGCAATAGCCAGTCTCTATTAAGTGTGTCGTTGTCATGTCAATTTTTATAACAAAAAAATGAAGTTTTCAATATTTATACTTTCGATGATTCATTAAATTTTTATTTTCATTAAAATAATTCAAGAACAAGTAGGTTGGAATATTTGATCCTTACCTGAGTTCCCTCGTTGCATCTAGTTTTGTTAGCTTTGGGCACTGGAGGCGGACACTCAGAGCTTCGTCCGTTACAAATAGAACTGTAGCTACAGTCTGACTCTGCTTTGCACTGAACGTTTTGCGATAATGACACAAATGTGCAGTGTTCACTTGAGCAGCAAGGCCCTTGACTCGGACTAGGTAGAAAGAAAAATAATTGATGATACTATAATGAAGTAATGGGAAAAGGCGTTGTGTTCCTCATTACTAAAATTCGCTTTTAATCCATTGACTTTACGCGTATTTTAGTGTATAATAAGGTAAAAGAATTTGAACATTTTTATTATAGCCTGTGGTTAAATAAATACAGACTTGGTTATTTTAAGAATGATGTATACTTACATGTATAATTTACACAAATTTTGTAATAATAATCGACATTTAGGTAGGCTAAGACACAAGGATATCTACGTATAATGTCCAATTTTAGAATATTTTTTTTACAGTGAAATATTCGATAAGATTTATAAATAAAGATGTTTATAAAAATTTCCCAATCGGCAACAATGTAACATGTACTGATTAAATTTAAAAACGACCCGGCATTAGTTTATGAAATTTCAATAACGTATTAAAAGGTAAATAAATCATTTAAACTGTTAATAATTTTTTTGTAAAGCAATATTTCTATAAATAAAATGAAAAGTAAATTTAAGTAATCTTATACCATAAGTCGTGTATGTCATAATTGTTTGATAAACTGATTAAAAAAAACTTTTATATCGAAAAGATTGTTATACTTTAGATAATCATTATCGTCACTTGATCTTTTCAATAAAGTAGCGATGATCATTTGAATAAAACAGCTTAGTGCACTGTTTCACAAAACAATGTTCACAAGCAAAAACACTAAATATTGCTGAAGACAATAGTTTAAATAATGTATATAATTAATTATCAAATATTATATAGATTATAATTGTTTTGAATCATTTTTCTACTTTCATAGAAATATTTATTATAAAACAGTAATCATGATTGTTCTATTGTAACAGTAAAAGAGAATTCCAAAATTGTATTTATCTTTGAGTGACGATACTTTTTAAATGAATTAAAATATTTTTTGTCATTTTGCTCGCTGCCACACTAATATCTATGTATGGAATTTTTTTTGCGTAAAAAACAAACTCAGTTCTACTTCGATTAGCAATCGGTCACGTTATAATATAACAGAAATGATTGGTAATGTAGTTGTTATCAGCAAGTTACAACAAATTAAAAAATATTTATGTAATCACTAATTTCCTTAATGCTGCATAACACTTGTTACCAACTGTTCAATACCAAGATCGTGGCGTACAGTAAGGAAGAGTAAAATCCAAAAGAAATACAAACCTGCACTGAGCGCCGTGCTTTCTCCTGCAACCCTTGGCTGTATCATTGTTGATCCTCTCGAGGGGCGACAGCTGCCGCGGGTAGCAGCACTTGTCGACACACTCGTCGTCATCGTACCCACAGTCGCACTCCTCCCCAGCTTCGACAATCTTGTTGCCGCAAAAGGCTCCGAGCGAAGCGTTGAAGCAATTGCGCTTCTTATTGTCGACAATTGCATCAAGAACATTGCTGATATTACCGATGCTGCACTTAGAGAATTTGCTATTGTTCGGTCGGTCGCCAGACGTCGCCGAGGCGAACATTATGTAGTTTCCTTTGATGCCGCCGGGCTTACAGTCCGTCGGAAAATCGTGCTATTGATTAACAGAATTATATTGAAATATAGATCTCTAAGAATGAGCTTAAAAGATTTCAATTTCTTCAGAACCTTCATTAAATTTATATAAATATTTAGTATAAAATATCTATCTTAAATATTTTAATTTTAATCTAATTACAACTAATTTACTAAATCCCGTTTTTTTTATTCGTAAAGAATTGATGAAAAATTTGAAGAAAAAAATTACTGTTGATAAAATATCTGTCATTTTATTACTTTTCAATATCTTTGATTATAATTTTTATAGAATATTAAACTAATTCCAAATATTCTCTTATTTCTGTAATGCGCGTTAATTAAAATATTCTTTTCTATAAAGATTTTCATTTATCTTATACGAAATTGCATCGTTTAAGTTTATTATATGGAAATTCATAAAAATACTGTCATATTAAATAGAATTTTATGTGCAGATGTAACACGAACGTGATCAAACGTAGCTTATGAATAAGTTGCTTGAAATATCAATCCTTAGTAAAAATTTATATAATATAAAAGAGTAAAAAAGTAATATCATATTTTCGAAATTATTATATCTTTTTGATAGTATTAAATTAAGTATTCAAGTAAGATTATACTAACAATCATATTCTACAGTAGTTTAAAAAATCTCTAATTATCAATTTTTATTATAATCTGTATGCATTCAAATAGATTTAATCAAAGAAAGATAAAATCGAGGAATTATGAAAAATTCAAATATATATCTTTTAGAACTATATTTAAAGAAACAATACCATCATAATATTATTTTAATTAGTATTTAAATTTAGTCAATAGTCAAGCTAATTTAATGATCGAATTTAATAAAAGTTGCTTTAACTTTTACTTAATGCGTATGTTTATACTTTTTAACATAACAGTCTTCATCTTATCAATATTTATAATTATTTTGTGAAGTGCTTAATAATTGTAAAGATTTTATCTCTGGGAATAGAGAACGAATCAAGGATCGGCTTTGCAAAGGTCATAATTTTTATAAACAATATGCATGATTTTGTCAATACTACAGGCTTTGCTTACATACCGGTGAACCGAAGTTGTGGCCTATCTCATGAGCAAGAGTGAGCTGTGAGACTTTGGGGGGCACTCGGCTGTTGTAGTTGACGAATGTAATGATACCAGTGTTGAGGGAGCGTTTTGTTGACTGGTACATACCGGCCACTGTTTCCGTATAAGTCTTGTATCTCTCACAAATGCCGCCAGAGGCGCCGGAAGCTGAAGCCACCCATGCTAAGCCCAACGTACCTCCAGTGAAGTCTCTGCAATGAATGATTTACCGTTATACTGGTACCGCGTGAGTAATTTTTCAACTCTTGCTAGGACCTCTAAATTGCATGCATGGGTGAACCCAATGTGGTGGGATTTTTTTTTCGAGATAATACTGTATTGCGTACTACGCTAATAATTATACTTGCCACATAATAAATTTCCGCCTTCGACTACGGATATTTTCACTGAAAAAGTTTATTTAGCTAATTTTACTTAATGCCAGTAATATTTTTATATTTCATTATTCTATAAAATACATTAGCTACAAATAGAATTTTCATGCGCAGTAGTGATCAGCATATGGTGAAAAGTTACAAACAAGTAATAGACTTAATAATTTAGTTTGAAAGGTACGGTAGAAATACATCAATTTCATTGGTCACCCTCTCGCATATTATATTGTACAAATCTTAGACGAGCAGTAGAAACTGGCGAATTTTTTATTAAGTAATAAAAAATTCATCATAAAATATACACTACGCCTGTATTTAAACCGAAGATTATTTATTATGCTTTATTCATTCTTATTAACTATTATAATTTATTTGACTGTTATGTAATTTAATTTTTTCTTAATAATAAGAACTTGTGATTTCTTTTTTTTTTTTTTTTAAATTTTATTACTGCATAGATAACTGGGAGAAAACTCTTAATATTTTCTTTTCTTAAATGTAATTGAGCAATCTGATCTTAGGGATTGGAATTCGTAGAGAATATAGAAAATTATATTCTGAAAATGAAATTCCTTGCAAGAAGATGCCATATCAGCATTGAAATTGCGTAAACAGATCCTTGAAAGACCTTTATGAAAACTAATGTTATTATATCTTCTTTTTTCATTATATCTTTGATTCAAGCGTAAGTCAGCCCATTGATTATTGGTAGTGGATACGTATAATAAAAAATTATTTATGTTACTGCAACGGTATTAATTTTTATGAATTAAAAATTTTTTATAATTGATTTATAATAAATTTATATATTATAAATATAATTTGTGATAATTTGTATTATTTAATAATTTAATTAGTAATCATCTTACTTTCAAATTTTTTTAATGATTAAAAATTAATATTCTTAAATACATTATTTATTTGTCTCTAGCCTGGTTATAATTAAATTTATTTTGCATATATTTATTATATAACAATATATTTTATAGAGAAATAAATCGAATAAAACTATTCTTAATAGACACATGATATTATGTAATATCAATATAATTTTAAGAAAATGAAATAAAAGAAACCATAAGATTTGATGGTATCGATATATTACTAATTTTTATAGATTAAAATAAATAACAATAAAAAATGTCCTAAATTTCTATATATTGTTAAACTGTTTAATGCACATTAGTCAACCAATTTAATAACGAAGAACTATAACATTATAATATACATATGTATGTATGCTTATGTATATAATAAAATATTTATGGAAATTTTCATAAATATTATACATAAGAACTCATCCAATTAAAAATATTTTAGAGAAAAAAGATATAGAAGCTTTAATTTCTGTACAAAAATCGATGGATACTTGTATTTGTGCGTACAGTTCAACTGTACTCAATTGCTCAATGCCATAAACTATTAGAATCATATTAAAATTTAATTAAAATAATATTGCAATTTAAACGTTTTACAAGTATTATATTAAAGCTAAAAATTCAGATTAAGTAAACTATATATAATCAATGTGAAATTAGTTATTCGTATTATACTGTATATCAATATTTGAACATAATTAAATTGTTATAATTCTTCTTTTTTTTTGTTAATAATACTTATTTGGCTAATAATAATAATTGTATTAATTATACATTTTATTCTAAATTATGCTATGTTATATTTTTAATTTAAGAACGCCATCTGAAATATTAATTTATCTATATATAATAAATACCATTTAGAAAATATTTATTTTCATAAAGTTTCATGCAGTTTACTTTATACCGATACCTTTAAATTCAATCGATCAGCTTCACATTAGATTTTATCTCTTTAACAAATTAAATCTGGGTTTTTCATAATTTTATTCGTAAGTTAATTGTAGAAAAATAATATAAAAAAAATAATGAATTTTATTCTTATTTGAAATAGCGATTTTCAATGCAGAAATTAAACTAGTGTCTTCGTTTAATACATTATTTAAATAAATCGAAGAATAATACGTAAAATAATGTGTTAATAAATATAAGAGATGTTAATAAATAATAAGTAGGTCGTCATTTTCGTCATAGATAAATTTGATCAAAGATGTAAAATATTTTACAGAAATTCAAAAAGATTTCGTCATCTGCGTTAAAAAATTCAATAATTTTTACTAAATAATTAATTGAAGAGGAGTGTAAAACAAACCTATAGGTAAATACATAAGCTAAGCAAAAGTCTTCGTGATTGCCCAACGAGTGGAGATTTAAAAAGTTACTGACGTCGATGTCTTCCCTGCAAAACGGATTTTGATCCTGGTAACTGTGGGGTTGTCCGCATGCGCTGTCATCATCGATCTGTTCATAACAAAATGTAGATACATTTATATTTAAATTGCTTTTATTTTGCTAATTATAATAAATACCATTAATGTATAATCATAAATATGTATATATATAAAAAAAAAACAAAATATAAATATTGATAAAATTATTACGAATTACAAGATTGTTAATCTTATTAAAATAAATATTAGTTTTTTATCAAAAGCAAATCGACATTTAAAATGGTTTTATTGCAAACATTTAAAGTTTAAGTCTTCCTTCATTTAAACTTTTAGTTGGTTTATTCAGTCTACTTCATTGTTCCTTTCATTAAAGTATATGTTTAGGATTACGAGACCAGAAGAAGGTTTAAGGGATAGGAAATATTTTTATATGGACAATATAATAATTGAGGTTGCACCTTTATCCTTTGAACTTCGAATTTAATGTCCCTATGCTCGATCTTGCCATCGAATTTTGTGTCCCTGTAGATGTAATTAACGGCAGTAACGTGATGGGCGATCAGCGACAGTATTTCTTCTCGTGTTTTGTCTTCATCATGATTCAGCTATGCCAACCGAAAAGAAAATGAGAAGCGAAATATAAAATATTAGTAGTGTATTTTATTGGCAATGAATATGTTATTTATTATAAACTAATTATAATTATTATACTAATTAATATTTAATTAAATTAAATATTATAATACATTATATATATATATATATATATATATATAATATATATATATAATATAATATAATATTATAATTAAATTAAACTAATTATAATATTAATTGAATTATATAAAAATAGTTTTATTCGAGATACTTATTCCTATTAATGCTGCTACGTAGCAAATTGTTATTACGCGAACGTATTATCTTTTCAATTATGTTTTTCAGTTAATTATTTTATATATATATATATATATTTACCTTTAAGATTCATGAAATAGTTGTGTAATTAGACACTCATAAACTAATTAAATTGTAATGGAAATTTATACCCTACTTATACCCTGTATATATTATAACTGTCCTTTATTATATATTATATATTATAACTACGGGTATTTACAAAAATTATTTTTTTCTTCAAATTAAGTATATAGTTGTTATTATATATTGTTATTAATGTTTAGTTAGTTTTAATTAAAATAATGCATGGAAAATAAAGCGATAAGCTCATATAATAAGTGAAAGAATATAATGTTAAAAAATAGAGAAAAACTGTTCATAAAATAAATTCTAGCTTATGCAAGGGATTCAATAAAAAATTAAAACGTACGTTTTTCCAAAAGAAAACTAAGTATATTTGTTAATATACTAATTTATAAACAAATAAACCAGAGAATACCAATTGTCATTGAATTCAAATTGTTTTCTATATTACTTTTTGGTAAAATTAAATCAAGTCATTAGTTATATCAATTGCTAATGCCATACCAAAATCGAACCAATTGATATGAAAAATAGTTGAAATAACTATGTCATGAAATTTTGTGAAATATTTTGATTTTATTTCTATTTGAAAAAAATTTATAATATGAAAAATAGATGAAATATTAATAATTTATAACAAAATTTAATTATCTAATATTTAATAATAAAGAAAAAAATAAAAAATAAATAAAGAAATTATAAATGAAAGTAGACTCGAGCTTTCAATATGCAAAATTATACTTTTCGTTATGTGCTTCAGTGAATTCGGCAACGAAGCTTTTCTCTACATTCATCTTTTTTATGCTTTGGTCAGCGTCTGACTAACAGATATTCACTACTTCCTTTTTTAAATAGACTTTAAAAATGACCGTGTCACGGACTCATATATGCAAAAGACAGTGTTATTTTTCTGTTTTCACTCTTTCTTTAGATTCTAAAAAGGCATGAAGAAGGGAACAAGAATGAAAGTTAAAAGTTTGAATCGTTATAACTTGCGGCAAAGCATACATACTACCGAACGTACGTGAAATCCCGTGGAAGCTGAAAAGCGAACTGAAAGCTTTTGCGTTTTATCATTTATTTTACCATTTTTGTGCGTCTTTTATCTTTAATTTGGCTCAAATTATGTCATAAGTCATGACCATACGATGGACAAAAGTTATTTTACTAATTGTTATTTTTGTGCTCCTCTTTTCCACTTTTATTTCTTTATTTAAAATTGGCATGACAGAATTCAGATAAGACCTTAATGGAATGGAAAACAAGCATGAAGTGGAATAAAGCCTCTTGATAACTGACCGTAAAGTCGCGCAAACGGTGGCTACGAAATGAGATCATTCTTTATTTATATCACCTCCGCTTTTTTTTTTTAATGAGTTATATATTTATGAGACTTATTCGAAATTTACAGTTTCTTTCACGAATAGGTTACAATTGAGACAATTACATTAGACATATACATACATATACATCCACAAATACACGTCAATAAATAAATAATATATATATAATTAATAACTTTCAATGTCTTCTGTTTATTTTGTATATAGGTTCCTAATAAAAACTATTTCTTTTGTTTTGAAATTTCATTATTAAAATTAATTAAATTCTTACAAAATGATTACCGAAGACATAACATAATAGAATTACTTGTCCTTTAATTGCTAAATTAAAATAGCAATATATTATAAAATAATATTTTATCTTATTCAACAATCTTTTTTAGTTCAAGTTAATGAGAAAATGAAATATAATAAATTTCAAATTATTCAAGAGTAAAATTAATAATACGACGATACAAATAATAACGAACTATATATGTATACAATCATTTAAAATTATTTTGCACATTATTACAATATTTTATACAATTTTACAAATTTATAAGTTAAGATTCAATTGAATATTTATGACTTGAAAATACAAACACTTAATTCTGTAATTTAAAATTTTCATATTTTACTTGTTACTAATATACATATGAATGTTTTGTTATTTTGATATA